AACCCCAACACACAAACCCAGTACAAAACTGGTTGTCTTCTATGATTCCTCCCATGGTTATTGGCTGTAGTTATCTGAGTGTTAGCAGTGCAGTCCTCTTTTCTTCTTCTGCCTTTTGCTTGCTGTCCTCAACATCGTCTCAGTGAAAACAGGTTTTTATTATGACAATTGAGCTGCTGATAATGAAGACTTACGTGAGAATTAGTTATTTTTGTAAGACTTTATAATAACTGATAGGCTTAGGTGCAAAGAAGCAGATTTTCTGTGTTGAGTAGCTTGTTGCTAAACCTCTTCCTGACCTAAAACCCTGTTGCAATTGATCACTTTAATAGCGAAATAAAAATATGCGTGCAGTTTGGGTAATATAACAGTCCACATTTTCATAGACACACACACTGGTACAACCTTTTCTTATGGAGAGCCTTATTGCTGTGCTGGAGGACAGTTCTGGTTTGTTAGGTATGAATCCAAAATAAACTTGGTCTAAAATCAGTTCCAAAGTGAAAGGCTCACTCTGCCAAGAGGAGGTGTGTGGTTATGTATGCATTTGGTAAGTTTTAGAGACTAATTTTTTGCTTGAGTTAACCTTTCTTCTCTAAGGTTCTGAGTTTTCAATCTTTCCTGGTATAAAGGCTTGTCTTCCTGGTACTTTGTCCATCTTCAGATAGAGTTAAAACTGCCACAGTCAACACGTGGATACTGTATAGCATCGTCTTCTGGCTTGATGTATGTCACTTCGCCGGCTCATCTTAAAGCATTCATCTGGTATGTGTGATGATTCAGGGAAGGCCATGTATTTATGGACATAATAAAGGACAAATTTACTGCACTCATGCATGTCTGCAGTGCTTTCAGAAGAGTTTGGTTCTGTTCAGGTCAACCTGAGTCCTCTCATTCCTCCAAGAAAGACAACAACCCAACAAAACCACCGCTTCTGATGTGGTTATTTGTGGAGTTTGGCTTGCCAACAAGAATGCCTTTGTGCGAGGGAGCCAGGGGAAGGTTGTCCAGCAATGATGGCTGTTCCCACCTCGGGGTAATGTTTAGGATGTTTCTCTGACCGCCGTTCACCCAGAGGTGCTTTGGAAGGCCTGTTCTCCTCCACTGATGGACCCAGAGTTCTGTGGCTCTGCTGGAAGACGTGTTCTGGCCATGGAGATGAACTGGACCGGGCCACCGCAACGTGCTTTGCCATACAGGAGCACTGTGAGGTTTCAGCTGGCGCCGCTGCTTGTGCAGCACGAGAAAATAAATCCTAGCTGTGGCTGAGGGGAGTGGGAGCGTGTATTGGTCTTTGTTGTGATACCAAGAGGAGTGCTGAAGAGAGCAGTGATGAAGAAGGGTGATAAGAGGAAATAAAGAGAGATATAGATAGTATTTGGGAGCCAGCCAGAGTGTAAACAAATCACCTGGGAGGTGAGTTTGGAGGGATAGCAGGTGAGGAGAGGCTGTGAATGGATAAAACCAGGAGAAGGTAATTTAAGAGCATGGATGAATACTGAGTTCAAGAGGAAATGTTATCTTGATCCTGGTATTTGGAAAACTGGAGGAGGGAAGATGTGAGATGAAATGGGGGAGATGAGTGCATTTTAGTCAAAACACAGAGAAACAAAGCCTTATTGTCCCGGATGGGATGGGTGGATCAAAGGAAGTTGTCACAGTGTGTGCTTGAAATTTGGTAGCAGGATGGAGAGGGTCTAAATGTGTGTGATAGGGAGGAGGGGCTGTGTATTTATAATTCTGTTAGCAGTCCTAAAAAAGCAGAAGATACAAGGTAAAGGATTACCCAGCCCGAAGGAATGTGTTGTTTCAGTGATAATCTCACAGTTCAAACTTTGCAGAGTGCTGGGGTTTAAAATTATAGTACCGAGTATAATCTAAAAATACTAAAATGAGATGAGCATGGAACAGCTATATTTTCCTTAAACAAATGGTGAAGTTTCCTTTCCCTCCTTTGTTGTGAAAAGGTTTTGATGTGATTTCTTTTAATTTTATTTTTTCCTATGCGGAGAAGCTAGTACTGAAGAGGAGATAGTATGTCTGAGACAGCAAAGACTATTTTCTGTCATTAAAGGTGCAAGTCAAAAATCTTATATGCTTGGCAAATGTTGGAAAGCCAACAAGTCGTTGCGTTTGTGGAATTATGCGGCTGTTTAGTTGAATTTAATCTGCTCTGTTTCACAGTTGAGAGATGCATGAGTGTTATGCAGTCTGGGACCCAGATGGTTAAGCTGAAGAGTGGAACCAAAGGGCTAGTTCGTCTCTTCTATCTGGATGAGCACAGGACCTGCATCCGATGGAGACCGTCCAGGAAAAGCGAAAAGGCAAAAAGTAAACTTTTAATATTTCTTCTAATGTCTGGGGCAGTTCAGTGTTAGAAAGTGAATTACAGAAGGATCAATTAATCAAATGCTTTTTGATGCATATTTAAAAAGGGATGGGATAACTTACATGAAGGTTTTCAAGGGTGTGAGTAGAGTTTAACCACCTACGAAAAGTTCAGGAGTATGAAAGGAAGGAGAGTGTAGTTCAGTCAGATGTCAACCTTTTCCATTGGTTGACAGGAGTTGAGAGCAAAGACTTGTTACAAACCGTGCCAAATGCTTCTCAGTGTGTATGTCACAAACTTAAATACCGAACTTCGGAAAGCTCAGACTGAGGTTTCTTAATCTCAACGGTGATAATTTTCTGTAGGCATTATTACATCTTGAAGTTATTGTGTAGCGTTATTTCTTATTGAAACTCTTCCTGCGGCACTGTTTTAAATTGGAAATTCGTATTTGTGGTTTATTGACTAAAATAAGGACTAGAAATTCAGAACTGTCACGGAGGCTTGAGATTAAAAACAAGCAGTTGGGAAGGCTACAGATAGTGACAGTTGGTGGGTTTGGGCCAGTGTGTGGTGGCTAAGAGCCGCTGTGTTGAACAGCGTAGCTGTTAGGTGCCGTGGCATTGGGAGCCCTGTTATAGCACAGCGGCAGGTGTTCCTGCTGTGGAAAGCATGGCTGTGTGGGGGCAGCCCCTTTGGAGCTGCACAGTATTTCACTGATCGATGGAAGACACTTGGTGTCTGTCTCCCCATGCTTCCCTTTGAGCAGCCTACAGCCCTCTGGCGTGGCAGGGAGCAGTCCAAACCTGCCTTCAAGGCATCTCTGCTGTGGCACAACCAAAGCAAGGGTAAACCTTCACATCAAAAAGCACTTGGGATGTGAAGGTGTAATATTAAAAGAAAGTCTAATGATTCAGAATAGCTAAACCCAGAAAGCAGTTGGGTGATACCCAAGCGTGTCAATTCTTGTTTTCCTTTTTCCCCGCAGTTGTCATAGATTCCATTTACAAAGTCACCGAAGGCCGGCAGTCTGAGATCTTCCACCGCCATGCGGAGGGGAACTTCGACCCAAGCTGCTGCTTTACCATTTACCATGGCAACCACATGGAGTCTCTGGACCTGATTACTTCTAACCCAGAAGAAGCTCGCACCTGGATCACCGGACTGAAATATTTGATGGCTGGAATAAGTGATGAGGATTCCCTTGCTAAGCGACAGAGAACACACGATCAGTATCCTTTTATCAGCCTGAGCTCCAGCTTCCGATTTGGTATTTCTGGCTTGTTTTTTAGTGACCTCAGTGTAGGGTGTCCTTTCACTGCCTGTTAAGTGACCAAAAACCTTGCTATTGATTACAATGGGAACTGGAGTAATGGGTTTGATGTGGACACTTATCTGTGCCATAAAACTTCAGCTGTGCCTTAGGGGCTGGATTGAACTGCAGTGAAGTCGGGATAGTCTTGCAGTTTGTTAGTAAGATTCTTACTGAAGGGTCAAAGCAGTAATTTCTAGTTATCTGAACAAATACCAACCCCAGGGTGATTTCAGGATTTCTGTCATCTTGTGTTTGCCCAACTTGGCTTTTATTCCTCTGCTGCAGATTGCAAGGTCCCTTAGAAGACACTGCCTTCAAGATACTACTAATTGAAAACTTGACTTTGTTAGCCTCTGCACAGGTGAAACGCTAACATTTTGGGAGTTTTTCAGTACCTGATTAGTAACTCCTGGCCATCTCCATTTCTCTTGGTCAGTGTATGTCAGATATCTGCATGTACTTCTCAGCCTCTGTTAATTGTCAGGAGCACAAATCTTGAAAGCTCCTTAAATGCGTCTTGTAGCCTAGTAACCAAAATGAACTTCTTGTAAAGATTTTCATTGAATATTTTCTCAATGTGCTTTCTTTCACAACAGCGCTGACTGGTATGTTAAGTACAGAAAACACTCTTCCTGCTAAACAAAAAAAATCCCAAACAAACCAAGTCCACCTTGATTAAAATTGTAGCCTGTCTCTTCTGCCACATGAAGTCTACAGCTGTCACTTGTAAATACTCTTCCTGGAGTATATACGTACTTCTGTGTTTCTAATGTATATGTTCAGTGTTTAATTCTGATGCAAGATAGGCCCCGATCCATTTGGGGGATATAGTGCATGCTCTGGTGCACACATACTCAGCTTGCTATATTTATCCATGACTTTTCCGAGCTGCACGTGTCTGGTGTATGTTCTCTACTGGTGAAACATCACTTCAAGTCGTGTTTATGTTATCAAATGTGGCAGCTGGGAGACTGCAGACAAACCGACCCAGTACCGACCCAGTACCAGTTCCAGTTCATGTAAGAACTCAGCAAAGCTGCGAAGGGGTGTATGTGCAAAGAGGGGGTGAAAGGTGCAGGTTTAAAACGTGAAGTTCAAGTAGAATGGGGGAGTAGAAGAAGATATCAGAGCAAGTCCAGCAGTATCTGAGAACTTAGATTCTGTTCTCAGAGGAGAAGCTAGTAGCAGAATGGGAGTGCGAAGGGGCTGGTATTGTGAACCTAGCTGTAAATAAATGTCATAAACCAGTACTGGTTTTAAGTATTTGAATGAAACTGTAGCAAGGGCAGGGGAGAAAAAGTTAGATTCAGTGTCACCTCAAACCCGTGTAAACCTGTAGAACATCCCAACAAGAGGTTATAGTAGAGATGAGCCATATGCTGTGTGAAGAATCCCCTCTTGTTTTCTGAATTTGACAGCTACTATCTTTATTTGATAGCATTTTGCCCTTGTGTGGGGAGAAACAGCAAATGTTTGTGTGTTTTCCATTCCTTGTGCAGCTTATGAGTCTATGGAGTTGTTGCTGCCCCGTGGAAAGTGTGGCACCAGGTGAGAGCAGAGATAGCAGAGAAAGTGACAGACAAAGAAGTTGTCCGGAGATGGAAGAGTTACAAATATACAGATGAAAGAACTGTGTGCCAGTCTTGGAGGAGAGGGCATGGAAAAACAAGCATGGTTAATTTTTAATGAGGTGTTTATGGAAACCACAGACTGGTGGGTAATGTACGTGGGCTGATTTCAGAGTCTTCCTTACTCCATCCTCTTGCACTTGATTGATTAACATCATCCCTGATGCAGATGGCTGTTGAGCTTGATTCCTTTGAGCAGAGTCACAAAACCAGTAGTCCTCAGATATAACAGTTGCACCAGGTAGCAGGTACAACAGTAAATTGTACCAGAAGGTGTACAGTAGTAGAAGTGCTTTCGTTTGGCATTAGTATAGGGAGAACCATGTAGATAGCACCAGGTCTTTGCTGGCGATGACTTTGTTTCCCAGCGTACCCCAATAACTCTAATGCAGGCTGTTGGAAGTCTTAATGCAAATGTTTTGCCCAGGGGCACTGACTTGAAAAATAGGTATTTGGGAAGGCTGTATTGGGTCCTCTGCTAAGGAGGATTATCCCCCTGCCCAGAAGAACTGGGGCAGGGTCTTGTTCTCCTGAGTTCGAGTCTTGTCCCTTACCTGCCCAACTGTTCCATCTCCCTCCTCCATGAGGAAATCTCCCTCTTATACCTTTCCTTGACATTTTTGTAGCTGGGTCAAACAGACCTTTGAGGAGGCTGACAAGAACGGAGATGGCCTGCTGAATATTGAAGAGATCCACCAGCTGATGCATAAACTGAACGTTAACCTGCCCCGCAGGAAGGTCCGGCAGATGTTTCAGGTTGGTGGGCTCTAACGCAGCGTGGTTGCGGTACGATAGTGCCCGTTACTGGCACTCTTTCTGGACTCATCCAGAACAGGATCTGCAAGATGGGACTTAAAACTGTCCTTTCCACCACCTCACAGACTTTTTCCAGGTCTTACCTTTTTGTAGACAAAGATGCATCAGAACATTGTTTTAACAACATGACCCACATGGAAGGCAATTTATTATATTACTTTTTCAGATTATTATTGTTTTCATCTCTGATCTGAATTGTTCTGTACTGGCATTGAGGGACAATGAAGTTACTCTGTTGCTAGTGAAATCTTACCCATTTACTTCATGAAAAAATAGTTAATAGAAACAAGCTTTATGAAAATAATTAATGTTTTTTAACAACTTCCTTTTACTTAGCCAGAATGAATTTTTTTAATTCTGTAGTCTGAAAACAGTTACCATTTTCCACCAACCCCAGTGCTTACTGTAGGAAAGGGAAGCCAAGGACATAATGGAGAGCAAAATAAAATTTTCTTAAGCCTTCAGAACCAGTGCCAGCTAAAAGCTGGTTTGCTATAAAACATGGAAAAGTGAGAGTCTTCTATGATCAAAAGCACTTTGTTTGTCGGGCCTAAATTCTGCTTTAGGGGTATATCTATGGGGAATAAGTTACTCCCCAAAGACTTGAGAAGTTGGAAACTAGTGGGGTTGTGTTGCAGCGGTGAATTTGGGTTGTACTTATTCCTGCAAATTAGAACCATCACTGAAGATATGTAGTAGATATCAAGTGATTTAAAATCCCATTCCCCACCAAGATGGCTGGGAACTATTTTCTTCTCAGCTTACTTGCTGTGAGCCGGGTGTATGGCTCAGATGACAGCAGCACTAACAAGGTGTAATGAAATGCAGCTCCCCCAGATCTCGGTTTTGGTGGTGGTGTTGACTGCTGCAGGAGAGGCGGAGGGTTGTGAAGACTCATACTGAGAGGAAAGAAGATGTAGTTCGCTCGGCGCTTTTGAAGTGCCTGGTAATGGAGTAGGGCACTCTAGCAACCATCAGCCTTTGTATAATCAGAGGCAACTTTTGGTTAAAAACAAGCTGCTTCATTTATTTTGCTGCATTTGCTGCCAGCCTGTTCTGAGTTGCTATCCTAGACCTTGCAGGCACGGTTAATGTTAAAAGTTTGTTTACTGTTAGTCATTCAGGCCCCAATCCTAAAGGCACGAGCAGTGCTGTGTGCTGGCAATCCTATAGATTTCCAGGCCTTAATGCAGGATAAAGGGAATAGCAAAGTAACTCTGGGACAAATCCTTGCCCTACATCTAGCTACTCTACACTGTTCTTGCACTTGGTCTGCTCAGGTGGTACTTACTGTTTGTGGGACATGGTGTCACAGCTCCAGACATAGTACAACAGCTACCAGCCTGGAGGTGGCTCCATGAGGGTGGCCAGGCTTATGGGGCCATCCAGGTCCTGCATCTGGGAATAGAGTATTGGGCTGCTACTTCAGCTTTCTGTACGTATCATGAAACTCTACTGGTGTAAAGATGGGTTCCAGTTCTAAGACATGCCTCAGAGTGAAGTGGAATGTTTTATGTGAAGGGAAGGTAAAAATGGATCCTTGGAAAGCAAAACAGGTCAGAGATGTGTTCATTGTGTTGCTACTGGACTAGCTCCTCTTCTATAGGAGTGAGGTTGGACACCAACTGGAAGAGGTTTCTTGAGCAGGAAGAAGTGATAGCAGGATGAGGATGCCTTCCATCTGGAGAGGAACTTGGCTTTGGTTTACCAGCCTAGAGACACGCCAACAGGTTCAAAGCCAGATTGGTGTTAAAAGGACTCTGCCCAGAAGGTGTTTTGTCCTGAACAGAGGGAAGCACCATTTTTAACAGAATGTGACTTAGGAATGGCAGCAGGTTTTATAACTACAGGGAGAAATTGTTATATACAGCTGTGAATAATGAAAGGCATTATTCATGGGAACAGTGGCACATTTCTAAATATTTATTTCGCTTTGTTTCCATTATCTGCTGACAACCTCGAACTTAGCAAGAGTTGTAGCTTCCCTGAAGTTCATTTTTTGTAGAGACCTACATAATGTTTGACAGCGGTTCTCCAGAATGTATTCTTTGTTTTGAAAATCCAAGGCAATCCTCTTAGCGCATGTTAATACAAGCTTTTTACTGTGAACATCTGCCTAAGTACTGTTTTCTTCCTACCTCTGAGAATAAACAAAAACTGCCATCAAGACTGGGGCTACTGGACATATATTTTGGTGTGGAATCTTACTGCTGCTGCAGGCTTGTCCCCTCTGCAGAGGGCTGACAGGGGGCTGGGAGTGTTGCAGTTTCAACTAAAGTAAATTTAAGACTGTGATACTGTACTGAATGTTTTAAATTGTCAGACTCTGTTGTTAGGGGATGCCATGGGGTGAAATTACGTCCTTTGCTATGTTTTGATCCAGGATAACTGCAGGGCATACCGGCGAGTCACGGAGGTCAGAATAAATCCTACTGTGAGCCTCTTTACATGGGAAACAAATTCCAAACCTAAGATGGAATTGAGGCATTCATAGGGAACTTGTGGCTTTACTGAAGTCACCATTTTCACCAAAATACCCACTGGCCAGTGTTACAATGTTGCAGTTATTTTAGCCAACTAGGATTTGAGTCTGAACAGGATCTTGGGGACTAGAATTTATTAAACGTCTGATTGTGTATGTAAATCCTGTTCTGCTTTGTTCCCTGAACTCACCTCAGTTTAGCCTGCTTACCTGAGTGTCTTTAACTCTTAGGAAGCAGACACAGATGAGAACCAAGGGACCCTAAATTTTGAAGAATTTTCAGTCTTCTACAAGATGATGTCCTTACGTCGAGATCTCTACTTACTGCTCTTAAGTTACAGTGACAAGAAGGATCATCTCACTGTTGAAGAACTTGCTCAGTTTCTGAAGGTGGAACAAAAGGTATGGGAGTACTATGTATCCATATATGTGTACATTTTGAATTGTATGGAAAAGCTTAGCTTGAGGCAGGAGGGAAGACCACTTCTTGGTTGCAGCCGGTTATCGCGTGTCTGAGTGTGGTTGCTTTCTCTCGCACAGCTTGTCTGGGTTGTTTAATGGTGGCGTGGGGTGACGTCTGTATTTCTGGGAGATGCCTTTCACGAGTAAAGGTCTTGGCAGGTATACTCTAAATTAGGTTGATATGAGATCTCTTTTAAAGCTAGAAACACGAGACAAAACAAGAGCAAACTATTTCTGATTATCTACAAATGGTTTGTCTGTGCATGGCTTAACGCAGTCACGTGTTAAGATGAATCTTTGGGTTCACCTGCCCTTTCCTGTAAGCAAAATGGAATCCTACAATCCTGTTATATCCCAGGAGTTTCAAAGTATCAGTAGTAGTAATAATTAGAAAGACTGCTGCTTTTATTATTAAGACAGCAGTTTAAATATTGACAAAGAACCACCTCTTACATGTGGCCTAAATATTTATTAAAATTTTAAGGGAAGATTACACCTTTGTGATATAAAACAAAGATGGATATCGCACCAACCTGGCCAAGGGAGGGGATGCCCAGGATTCTATCCATTTTTTCCCTTTCTGCCTTCTTTCCCAACTTTTCCTCAGGAAAGTCTGTTTTCTAGGCATTCCCTACAGATATGTGGGACTTGTGCAAAGAAAATTGCACACCTGAAGGTTGCACTTCTATCAGAAGCTCCTCAGAGAAGCAGTTGAGAGAGGGGTGGTTCAGGGGACCACAGGAACAGACACACTGATAAGGGATTTAAGAAAAAAATAAAAATTAAAAGAAGCATAAGTAACTTAAGAAGCAAAGTTGGGTCAAGATCGAAGATTTTCCCCCCAATGTTCATACAGATTTGCTGAACAAAAAAAAAATGTAGCTATTCGTAATTGCTGTGGTGGAGATTCTCTTTCAAGACAGGAAGGAAACTGAATTACTACAAAAATTGTCTGTGGACCCCATGGAGAGAATGTGTACTCTGGACAGTGAGGAACACAGAAGGAACCTTGTGAACTCCAGGACTCTTGTTTGCTTCAGGCTGGTCCTGGATTGTTTGCTCACCCGGAGCATCCTTGCAGCGTGGTGTTCCAGAACAGCCTCACAAAAATAGATGCTACCATCCCAACCTGCTTGAGCTTCCTGGGTAGAGATACTGGATTTGCCTGCCCTCATTGGATAGTCTCCTGTGCCTTTCTGGGATCCTGCCTGCGATTACAGCTTTCTCAAGTTATCCCTAGCATAAAATATCAACAGCCCATGCAGTTTTGTTGCTGAATTTCCCTGTTGGCCATTGTGGCAATTCCCTGGCATGTACGACTCCCTCGATCTTCCTTCCTTTCTTCTGCTTTGCAACATGGCAGCACTATCACGTCACTGATCTTGCTGTGATAGCCTCAACACACAGATTCTTGCAAGCAATCTGGTCCTGGCAATTCTGCTAATTACAACTTTAAAGCACAAAATGGTTTTGTCTTTTTCCCTCTGTGCTAATGACTGAAATCTTCTGAGCTCCCTGCTTTTTCCTTTGTTTCCTTTTTAATCGCTGCCTTCTACTTGGGTGCCCTTCACTGGAGCACCCTTGACAGCAGCACGGCAGCAGGGTTGACACTGATGAGAAAACAAAGAAATGCTCCAGGGAGGACATGTTCGTGGAGATGCTGAAGTGCCCAGAAACAGCTGAAGAGCCATGGTATGAGAGGGGCACTCGGGGACCTGGAGCAGGAAGAAAAACACGTGAAAGAGGTAGAAGAGCTGTCTTTGTGGGTGCACAAGGACATCATGAAACTACTGATCCAGCAGAAAAACCAGGCTGACTGTCAGATCTGGCGTACTGCATCCTCTCCTCTGTCTACACACTGCTCAAAAGGCTGAATGCAGACAGGGCTATCAGCTGTAAATGCTCTGCTCAACATTATTCCAGAAACAAACACCTGAAAGAGTAAAAGCACGATCTCCTGTAGATGAATCTCTCGGCAGTGTCGTTTAGATGCATCTTGCACTTTGCCTCTTCCCTCTGGTCTTCCCACTTCGCAGCACTAGCAGTGTCAGGGCAGTTTTACCCTTTACTGCGTTCACAACACAGACGTGCTAACAATGTCCTGGGGTAAGGCAAGATTGCCGTCAAAAGCCAATAATGGTTGAAATCGTAATGCAGCTCTCAAGTGCCTTCAACCAAACGGCGGTTTGTTTTTGCTCTTGTCTGGCTGCTTGAAAATCTGTGGACAGTCTGTCCAGCTCCATCTGCTACTCTTTTGGCAAGGCTTTTAAACATTCTGCAGTCTGAGGATAAAACAGAAAGGGTTTGGGTTTTTTGTTAATTTGCTAAGCTGGCTTCTTTTTCTGGGAGAGCTCCCTGTTGCCTTCACCCCAGAGCTTGCGAGACAGATTATTTCCACTTAGGTGCAGTTAAACGCAGCTCGTTGCTATTGAAATTGCAATTACATGGCTTCAAATGTCAGAAGAGCAGAAAGTAGGCTGGTTTCCTGGGGTGACTGCTGGTCCTGCAGTCCTCTTAGCACACGGGGCTGTGCAGGAGGAGCATCCTGGATGTCCAGTCACGTCTGCGTGACTGAGTGTTGTCCCTTTGGGAGTGTCCTGTCTTAGCAAACCAGAACCAGTGTCCGAGCTGGTCCTCCCCAGAAACTGATGTCTTGCTAAATGAGGTTGGTTCTGCAGCAGGATCTCCAGGTTCTTTTGACTGACAGCTTATCTTGTGATTGCCTTTGAGCAGTGAGGTTGGGTGAAACAGGCTCGACAAGACATTGTCTTCCCTGCTGAAGAGCCGCTTTGTAGTTGCTACCTGTTCCTGACCTGCATCATGGAGTGAATGGTTGCTTCCTGCCTCATCCTGGGAGCCCCTGAGTGATGCTGCCCTGTGTCTGCGGGGTTCAGCCAGCCTGCGGCTGTTGTCTGCTGTCTGTCCTTCCTTCCTCCTATCCATATCACACCAAGTGCTTTTATTTCAGTCGAAGAGACCTTTTTGACTCTTGTGCTGATGATCTTATGCAGTTACAAGGCTGCTTTGGTGTTACAAACCTGAAAAGTTTCATTTTGGTTTTCCGAGAGTGAAGTTTCCCGTGTGCCTGCTTGCCAGCTGCCGCGTTACTATGGATCAGTTTTCATCTGTCCTGAGAACAAGTAACCACGTATCCAAGAGGTTTTGGAAGCCTCACTATTGACCATCTTCAGTAATCCATATTGAATCTAAATGTTCAGTCATCAATGATTGTGACTCCTTGATATTCTTTCTAGTGGAATACTTTAAAACTTAATGAAAACAAATTTAAATGAGTAGCCGAAGTCATCAGCTCTCCCAAGGTACTGTTGAAAAGCACAAATCAGTGGACATTTCCCAAACAGATGCAGTTTTGGAGTAGATCAGACTTTTCTATTCCTAGAGCACACGAGTACCCTGCCACCCGGCCATCAGGGAGCCATGTGGGATAATGCAAAGGTTAATTCTAGCCAGCTTGTGCTGAAGAAGGGCCTGCTATGAATAGTGTTTGCAATCAAACAGCAGTGTCTACTTGAGCTAGGATAATCAGTTATTTTCTCTACTGAATTGTTCTCATTCCTATTATCCTGTGTAATTCCTGCAGGCGTCTCATGATTGTTGGCTTAGCTAGAGATATAAATAAAATGTTTGGAGAAGGAAAGGGGCTGAGCCATGCTTTCCCTGTGCAAGAGAAAACCGGAGGGAAGGGGAGAAAGGCTGGAAAATATCTCCAAGTTTTTCAACTTGAGCCACCATATGAGTGATATGCTCACTTGCCTTCTGCTACTACAATTCTGATGTCAATGTGTCTTTTTTTTTTTTCCCCTTCCTCTGGTAATTTTTAATAGACATTTTTAGGAATGTTCATGTCAGAATTTTTCATGTCAGCTGTAGCCTTTGAGGTGTTACGAGATATGGTCAGTCATGGCACCCACGTTTCTTTGGAGGAACTCGGGACATAGCAGGATCGGGCCCTTAGAGAAGAGCAGGTCAAGAGTCAACCTATGTCCAGATTTCCATGTAGCTGACTGCTGATGCTGGGAATGCCAAGCAACCGGGAATAATGGAAAGCAGAAATTCATCAAAGGCTACAGGCAGAGCAGAGTACATGGAATTGACTTTTCCATCTGAAACACAATTCTGTTAGTAGGAGAGCAGTTCACAGGGGGACCGTTTTCAGATTTGAACAATAAATATTGTGCAATCTGCAGGATGACTAACCTCCCTCCTGCGTTTGCCTGAAGCAGCCATGTTCATGGGGATGACACACTGTAAGAGAGGGGACTGTGTGTTCCTTTGCTTCCAGATGCCTCCACGTGCCAGGGTGTTTGGGCCGACTGGCAAAGGATACGGAGTACAAACAGCAACCAGAATAATGGTACAAATAAGCTGCTAAAGGTTTTAGTGCCATTGTTGCCATCCTATGATATTATCAGTGGAGGAAATGACATACACCCAATCTTAGTTCTCACTTTGGTTCTCTACATCTTAAGGCGTTTCGAGGGGGTGAGAGAAGATGAGATGAGTGATGCAAGATCCTTCTTTCCTGTGATTTAAAAGGAAATATAAGTGTATGGTGGTACTCTGGCCCCACTAGTCAGCTGGGGCTTCAGCTGTGGGGTAGCTGAAGCTGTTGACAAAACTCGTATTTGTTTCAGAAGAACTGCTGGTTTTTGTTTTGGAATCTAATTATTTATCTCTCAGCCTGTACATTAGAGTGACCTCTCTGGGAAGTAATGAAATCACAGGAGTGGAAGAATGCATGAAAATGAAATCAAACCCTGCTGAATCTTTTTGCGTGTTTGAGTAGATCATATTAAAGAATGTTGCTTCATAGTTCTCATTTCAGCACTGTTGCCCAGTTCAACTGTTAAGTTTGTTTAGCTGCTAATTTTCATCTTTAAACCAAAATGACACAACTTTTAAGTGATCGCTGGTTCTCACTCCTAGTTTTCTCTTCCAAGGTAAGAGCCGTGAGGCTTGTGCAGTGCTGACAAAAATCAAATCCAAGTCTTAGCCCTTTTACAGTAGGGTTACCGATCGTCCTATTCATGTTTGATTGAATTCAATATTTGATCACAAGATTTTTCAACTGGACCCAGAAGCCTAAAGTAGATTTTGACATGCAGGTCACATGGTAGAAAAAAACTAAGTGCACCAAAACTGTCTTTTCTGTGCAGATGAATAATGTGACGCCAGAATATTGTCTTGACATCATACAGAAATTTGAAGTATCAGAAGAAAACAAGAAGCAAAATGTTCTTGGGATTGAAGGTAAAGGGTTTTCTTATTTCAAAATTAGGGTTTTTTTGATATACTGTAGTGGAATAGATAAACTTTAAGAGCATTTTGGTGTAGCTTTAAAATATTTGAGTGTAAAAGAAAGTCATACAGAAGATCAGCAGTTCTCTCCCCATCATACAGAACCATCTCTCCCCTGTGTCATACAATCCACACCGGGCAGTGTATTAGCAGCTGTACATCATAGTCATCCTACAGCAGTTTGAATGCCTTAGGCTTCCATGGATTTATTGCTGTGTATCTATTAAAATACAAACACAAACCGTCCTATACCATGTATCGTATACTATAACCTGCTCTAACTGAGGTAATAAAAGCAAAGTTTGCATTCTGCTCTGTCTCTGTAGATCTAGAATCGCTCCTGTGCAATCGATCTATGCTTATGTGAAATTAAATATGGGCAGTTGCATTTTCTTTGGGTTTTAATACCTTATTCACCTTGTTTCCTGAAGCAAGTGTAGGTGGTATGATTTTTCAGATCCAATTTAGCATCAAATCAGAATTGGAACAAAATAGATGAAATGCCACGGCATCTTCATTTGCCCAGAAGATCGCTTTCCTGAAGCAGCATAATTTACATGGTGAATTTGGGGTGGGGGAGGAAGGAGAAATCTCCCTCCACACGGTACTTAAACAAGCTTCTGGTGTGACCCTGGGCACTGCACTCAAGTGAAATAAGGAAAGCAGAATGAACAAGCTATGACATTTAAAAAAACATTTCCGAAAGCATTTTGGTTCCTTTTAATCTTATTGCTGCTTTTATGTTTGAATTGCTTTCGGGGTTGGCATTGTTTGCACTATCCTTCGGAAACATCTTGCGTGTCTGATTCTCAAAGGAGGTATTTTTAAAACTTTCTCTGTGTGGCGCTGAGCTGATTTACAGGGATATAAACCAGTACCATCCTCTCACATAAACTAGCAGCACAGAGAAAACTGTAAACTAGAGTGAATTGGCTGAATCAGTGATTTGGCTAGCACAGCCCGTGCTCTCCGTGCTGCAGTGCAGCCCACTGGGGGTAGAGCTTACTCACAGCAAGAGTGGCACTGAGACAGGGCTGAAGTGTCAGCAGTAAACTCAAAAAAAGCATTTGCTTCCGAGTCAGGACGTCAGTTTGGCTCCAGTTTTTGCCCTCTGATCTGTGTAAATGTGCAGATCCTTCTGAATTTTGGTAGGAGCCTGTTCTTTTTGTTCTTGACGTCATTGCTACCTTCTGAAGATTGCTTCTCAGCCTGGGACCCAGGGGCCATCACCAGCAGTGTGAAGTCCTGGCAGATCTGCAGGATGCTGACCCTGACTCTTGCAGGTGTTGTTCCTTACATCTCTTCTGCTGCCCCGTATTTGAGGGTTTTCCTCTGCCTCCTCTTATTTACAGGACATCATGCTTGTGATGGAGCAGAACGGCATAGCTCTTACCTGTTACCACCACGGTGCCCGTTGAGGGAAACATGGTGCACACCTCAAATCCTTTGCATCTTGCTGAGGGCGAGGCTGAGGTTCCCTCCCACCCACCAACTGGGTCCCTCTGAGCAAATCACTCTCCCGCCAAGGCACACTTTGGCATCCCAGGCAGTGTGGGCTGATGCTGCTTCAGTGTTTGACCCAATTTCTCCCTTATATTGATGCTTTAACAAGAATCAAGACTGGGTAGGGGGCACCAGTTTGAGAAGGAGGAAGCAAAACCAGTTTTGCTAACAGCGGTGACCCGTGGCGTAGCTGCATACCGTCTGTCTGCAGCAGCATCTGGATCGTTTTGTCTCACTGGATAATGGTGAGGGAGGGTACTTTCTTCCCCCGATTCTAACAAAACCAGTAACACCTTCTGTTCTGCTTATTAGCAGAGCAGTTTCGTCTGAGCTGCAGAAGGCAGTTTGAGCACACTTGTCTTGTGCACTGGATTTGGTGTAGGGAGCTTCTCCAGGGATTCAGGGGATTTTTACATGTGCATTTTTGCACCCCCTTTTGAGGGTCTGAATGAAACACTGAATTTGAAAATAGGTTGGGCAGTGGCTGTATTGATTGGTGGGGGTTTTCAGTCTTCTCATAGTTACTTTTGTGCTTCTCTCAGAATCCTACTTTGTTTTCCATTGGTTGGCAGTGAATTTCTGAAGAGGCTTAGCTCAATCTCATGTTTTGCAAATGCTTGTTGATTTTTGGGGTTTTGGCATTCATAAATGTGTCTTTCTAGATTGTATTTCCCTTTTTTGCTCAAAGCTGTTTGAAAGCTGTCTGGGAACAAGGGTGGGCTCTTTGGAATATATTCTTCTCCAAGGTGTCAGAACTTCCATAGGCTTCAAAAAGAAATACCTGTGCGTGTGCTGGCAGTGGACTTGCGCAGCCTCTTCAGTTTGCAGGGAACCAAGCAAGCCACAGGTTCAGTCTGTATGCTGAAAACGTGGGGTACAGGAAGATTAATCCCTGCTATGAGATTCAGTCATTTTGGAGACACGATTTAGCACTGACAAGCATCAAACAGGAAAAACAAATGCTGGAGTGCAACTCATTCGCTTGGGCAAGTGTGGCAAAACTGTTCTCTTTCTTCCAAGGTTTCACCAACTTCATGCGCAGTCCTGCTTGCGACGTGTTTAATCCGCTGCATTGCGAAGTGCATCAGGATATGGATCAGCCCCTCTGTAACTACTTTATTGCTTCATCTCACAACACGTACCTGACCGGCGACCAGCTGCTGTCCCAGTCCAGAGTGGAGATGTATGCGCAAGTGCTGCAGGACGGCTGTCGGTGTATCGAAGGTACAGTTTGGGAGAAGGAGGATGGATATTTCTTTTAAGTACAATGTCAGTGGCAAGCTTAAAGCATTAATGCTTCTCTGCCTGATTAACTTCAGTGCTGAACTCTAGCAGCCTAACCAGGAATTTTTGTGTTGGCAATGACTTTCTCAGACAAACCTCATAGACAGCACTGGTTTCTCCTGTCTGCTGCTGTGTTATGCTTTCCTCAGTCGGTGCAAGTTTCCCCTTGTCCCATGTTTGTGTGACACATATTTCTGTTGCACAAGCCCCAGCAAGGCAGTGGGCAGGGATCTGTCTGGGGCCCTGTGGTTCGGCAGAGCAGCCCTGGTTGTTCAAATCCAGGGTTCCCCCGTCCTGGAGGTTACCGCTTCATGGGAGTGCTTCCTCGTCCGCATTCCTCAGATGAGCTGAGCCAGCAAAGGCCTTTCCCTTTCATAAGGGAAAGTGGGTGTTTGCATATGCAGTTCCTCCTACAGGTGCAAAGTGCCCACAGGAGGAGGACAGGTGAGCAAGTGATGCTTTCTGTCAGCACTGCTCTGTCAACATCTTAGAGCTGAGAAACTTGGTTTTGGTCTGCCACAATAGGAAGGTAGGATGCTGTTTCATTGGCTGGATGCTGGAAGGAAACAAGATGCTCTTTGTCCAATAACCTGGAGATTGTGTTGGATTCTTGTTTAAGTTCCACAAGATGTAAATAATAACAAAATATTAATATTTTTCTTTCAAGATTCTGGGTGAAATAGTGTTTTGACAAGCTTAAACGATCGCTTTTTTATGCATACATGCTGCTTTTGGCTATACCACAACAGAGCACTGTTACAAAACTCATCTCTTGAAGAGCAGTTTGTTAATCAGGATTTAAGAACGAATTAGAGAAAATGAACCTGAGGAAACTGGGTGTTCTGTCACTGTACTTTCCTCTCTGTAGGAGAACTCACTGCAGCGCACAGTAGTGTGTTACTTGGTGTGACCTGAAGCTATTGCAGATACCGCACAGCCTGTGTAATGGCTCTGTAGCCTTCTTTTTGTGTAGTTTTTAACTTCCGGTAGAGGCAACAGTAGGGACAAATTTGGTGTAAATCCAGAGTACAGTAATTTATTAGGAAAACTGTTACTGTCCTAGTTCTTTTTCCATGTGATGGCTTTGATGCTACTCATATAAAACTGAAAGTTTAACTGGGAGGGGAAAAAGACTAAGTTGTTTTTAAATAACTTGTCTTCAGAAGCAGAAGCTCCTTTCCCAGGAGATAGCTGTAAGCATTATTTGACCTATTACACTTCTATAATTTTATACAAGAAGGAAAAAAAGCATTTTAAGGGAGGAAATCAGTTTGAGGTTTCAGACTTCACATGTAACGCAAGAAAAGACTGTCTTGTTAGCCTTAACTCAATGGTAGGTCGTAATAGATTGAATGAAAGTTACTGACACCTGCATGGTTGAGTAGTGTATGTGAGTCCTGCTGGCAGGCAAGGTCAGCAGAAATGTGCAAGGTCAGGGGCATCTCCTAATGTGTAGCTTTTTTTTGTCTTAATAGTGGATTGCTGGGATGGTCCAGATGGAGAGCCAGTAGTGCACCATGGCTATACTCTTACTTCTAAAATACTCTTCCGTGATGTGGCAGAAACTATCAATAAATACGCCTTCATCAAAAATGAGTAAGTGTAGAGTCAGTTTTTAAGCTACATCTGTCTTGTGCAGTTAATCCGATGTCAAAACCAACCATCAACATCAGGAAGTACATATATTCCTTTAAATATATTGAGGAATTATTAGGTTGACTCTCTCCCCCTGTTTATCGCTTGTATCATATTTAATGTTCAACTGCATGAGCTCTTTCCATCAGTTGAGTTAGAAAGTTCAACTTCAGTTAGAAAGACCTTTCATGCATTGTAAATTCAATAATCTTTTGAACCGTCTGAGGCTGTTGAATATCTAGAGATCATTTTGATCCTTTCTTTGAACAAAACATCCCACTCATTTCCACAGGGAAATTCTCCTAAAAATCAATAACATAACATTCTATACCTAAGGAAAAATATGTATTTCTGTAGGAAAATTGAACACCTTTCTCATATGTAGGAAAAGGGAATACTGAGGTGAGGAGTAATGTTCAGATTCTACTTCATGTGCCATGGTACTATGTAACAAAGTTCTATATGGAAATCATGGAGTCTAACCATATACACAACAGTCTCAACTCATGAGTGCATGCCAAGCATTCTGAGCAGTTTGAGAGAATAAAGGGAAACGCTTGCTTTGTTGTTTCTGGGGGGAGGGGGGGAAAAAAAGTGACCCCAACAATGGGGGTGTGGGAAAAACCATCAAGCCCAAAAGTCAATGTTATTGATTAGAAGCAGAAGCTGGTGAATTGTAAACTGAAAGCCATTATCCTTCATCTGACGTGTAGCTGGGCTCTGGGGTTCCTTGCCATTGGATTCTGGGGCTTCCAAGAGTTCAGAAAACAACTGGGCAAAGTTGTGGGAGAAAAGCTGTTGTATACAGAAACAATGACTTTAGCTCAAGAAACTTGAGCTGCGAACTCATGGAGCCTGGGAGAGTGTTCTGGAAAGGGTTGCCAAATATTCTCCTTTTCCAGAGTCCAGGCACCTTCAGAGACTTGGTCTGACTCACTGTAGCTGCACTTACTGAGATGCAGGCAGGTCAATCATGCGGCTGTCAATCTTCAGAAGGCGAACGGAGAGGAGTTAGCAATTCCTTTGACTCTGAGTTCAAAACGCATTTCTCCAGGAGCAGCTTGCTGGTCACGTACAGCTTAGGAACACTTTGCTTGTGGCTTCCAAAGGAGTAGTGTAGCTTCTCTTCAGCTGCATAGCACAAAAAGGCTTTGCATCGCTGCTGAGCTTTATTGCAGGTTTCTCTGCGCCTCACGCTTGGTGATCATGGGTTTCAAACTCTGTCCCCCTGTGCGCTGGGATGGAGGGAGAGGGCAGAATTACCTGCAGGGGCTATCCAAGGGGTTCTGGCAGAGCAGGGTTTGGGTGGTCATGTGCAGTCCTTCCTCTCCAAGTGAGGTGTTTTCCCAGGCTGTTGACAGTGCAAAAGCAAGCTACTTAAACCTGTTTATGTGGTAAGGTTGCAGGTCTTCTCTCCTAAAATGCAGCTGTGACAATGTCTGGGGGTTTTATTTCTAGGTTTCCAGTGATCCTGTCTATTGAAAACCATTGCAGTATTCAGCAGCAGCAGAAGATCGCACAGTACTTGAAGGAGATATTCAGTGACAAACTCGACTTGTCATCTGTAATCACTGGAGATTCCAGACAGCTTCCTAGCCCTCAAAATTTGAAAGGGAAAATCCTAGTGAAGGTAACGTGCTGCTGGCAGTGTGTTCAAAACGCAACAAAAGTCAGTGTGCGGTATTCATTGTGGATTTTCTTTGGCTTCGGAGGACCAGCGCAGCAGTTCAGTATAGAGTCGTGCAGATGCAGTGAGGGGTTAAAATTCTGAGCTTTTCAGAGACATGGAAACAGAGTTTACCTTGGACTTGGTGAGTGTCCTAGAGCACTTCTAAGTGTTTCAACAGGCAGGTGATACCGACAGCAGTGGAAAGCAAATTCTTACATCTTATCTCAGAGTCTTGCAGCCAGAGATGCTTGTTTTTCAAACGTAGCACTGAGTCAGGAGGGCAGAAAAAGGATATAACATTCAGCATTATGAACAGAAGGAACTCTGACACAGTTATGTGAACCTGATATTTTCTCTTTTTTTGAAATTTGTTATTAGTGGATATTGTTCTGTATGGTTCACGTCCCTGTGGTATCTAAACATTATCCTACAGTCCCTCCTCAGACAATGTATTTTGGAGCAATATAAAAGCATCTGAAAATGTCTTGCATTCCCCCTCGTGAGCCTTGCTCTGAGCAGTAGCTCATGAAATGAAACTGTTTTCACGGTTCATCAGCTGAGTTTATGAAGGAGGAGCACCTCAGAAGGTGGCTGTGGGGAGCAGCGAGGGAGGAGGCCCTGGAGCACTGGAGTTAGTGTTGTATGCAAGATTAATTGCTGGGGCCTCAGGATAAACGGATTTGCTCTGAAAGGAGTTTCAAAGAGCAAGATAGATACAATAAAAAAGAAAAGCAAGGCAGACCCTTGAGAAGATGGTTAATAGAGCTGTAGCTTATTAGATTGTCTAATTTATGTTGACACGTGGGGGCAATTACTTTGCTGTGAGCTCTTGAGATGCTACTTTTTCCCCCTCTGTCCTCTGCATCAAGCTAACTACAAGGGTTTATAATTTTGGTTTGTTTGAAACATGTTTCAGTGTACAGAGCTGACTCTGAATTAGAAAACCTTTGAGTGCTCGACTGTGATATTGAATTTCACTGAATCAGTTTTCTTGTGTAGCTGCTAATTAATGAACTGCGCAAATGTGTAGTGTTGGTGTTTCAGGGAGTCAAACGAAACAGTGTGTAATGTCAGTCACGCAACGAAACCCAGCAAACCTGGCTTGAAATACTCTGTCAGCGCACAAAAGGCGAGAGGGGTTTGGTGCTGTGCTTGCTGTTCCTACCTCAGCTTTTGGATGGTCTTCCTAGCACATTCGAGTTTAACTTTAGGTTGATCCTTCATCTAACAGTGCCGAAACCCCATGAGTAGTTACAGAATGGTGTGGAGCTGAGCTAATTTAACTCTAATAACTCTAATAATACTCATGGATTTAAGCCAGCATGAAGGTGCCAACGTGAAGTGAATTTGATCCACTCAATAGCAGGGCAGCATCGTTAATTTCAAAATGCAGTCTATAAATCAATCCTCTTCATTTTGGCAGAAATCTGGGTGTCATTGTTTCCCTCTGTCGCTGATGAAGCAGGTAGACGGCGAATGTTTCTGCAGTCAGTGAGGAGGACACGCACGGAAGTACTAACACGGAAGTTTAATGGGTGATTTATAAGTAGCAGATGGTAAAGCAAGAGGCAATGGCTGCAAGTTACAGCTTGGGAGGAGCAGATGGGATGGCAGGAAAAGCCAGCCGAGGGTAGTGCAGCACAGAAAGAGGCTGCCCAGGAGGCTGCGGGGCTCTCATCCCTAAAGTGTGCAAGACCTGGCTGAGCAAAGCTCATCTAGAGGTGGTGACACTCCTCTTTAGTGGGAGGTTGGACCAGAGACCTTCAGAGGTCCCAGAGCCCACACTTCCAAGGTTCTGTGATTGGGCTTTGCTAGAAGTGATCATACAGGAGTATTGAAGGTGAATGCTAATTAAGGATAATTAATGTCAGAGCCTCTGTTTTATCAGGAGTAGCCAATAACCTCAGTTTGATGCTCACCACTCTAATCAGATGTTGGAAGCTAGATGTGGCATGAATGTAGTTCCTTTCTAATGTAGGGATCTGACGTTCACAGTACTGGATTAACAACTGACTCTGGATTGCTGACCACACTCTTGCATGAGCCTGCGATATCAAAACAGGCTTTGCTGCTTCTTTCATGTTGATGGCTGCTTGCAGGGAGTGCTTTTGTGTCTGCAGTTTCCGTTCTGATGAAGAGCCTATGGCAAAATCTCAGCTTATGATTTGTAGAGTTGTATTTTAGGTATAGGACAGTCAGCTTGCTAGGGGTAAGCCTGAAATATCTGAGAGCCAACAAGAAAGAGTCTTTGGGACACTGGCTGGCTTGCTCCAGAGGTGGGAGAGGATGTGGCTTGTTTTGAAAGAGCTTGCAAAGGTCTTTCAGTAACAAACTCTTCCTAAAATACTTAAATTTTCACCTGTGATAATCATAGAATCATAGAA